CATGCTGCAAGCATTGGTATACAAACACTTAGGAGAAGGAAGCAGAGCATCCAGGTATCTCCAGGGAGGTGCAAGAGGACCTCCTGTAGTTGTGCACACCCTTGAGGTCACTGACCCTCTGGCTCCAGTCCTGGGAGGCAGCAAAGGCAGATTTGTTACTCTCACAGCTGGCCTTTCCCATTCCCCAGTCTACTGTCTTTATCAGACAGTTTCTTTTTTTTTTCTCTCTGCCTTTCTCCCAGTTATAGACATATATGTTAATTTAAGAATTTAAGATTGCCCTGCCTCTTCTAGACAGGTGGGTCCTGTCCCTCCTTAATAGATTATAATCTGTATACGAAGTCCCATTATCATAAAAAACAAAACCCTCGCGTTGACACCAGCCACGTAGTCAGTTTATGTGCATTATGCATTTATTTCTGGTCTTCCACTTTCCTCCAGCAGGCAGAATAGAAGATAACTTGGGCATCGATTTTTTTTTTTTTCACTTGCCTACCCAGGGCTTTATAATCTTCCTTGATTCTTCCCATGTTGTGCCTTATAGCATCATTGGTGCCCACATGAAAGACCAACAGTGGATAATATTCTGTTTTTTTGACTAGTTGTGGCACCCTCACAGCAACGTCACAGATCTTGGCTCCCAGGAGGCAGCAGACCTCTTGAGACTCCCTGTCAGGCTGGCAGAGGGGACCCTCTGTGCCCTTTAACAGGGAGTCCCGCACTACAACCTCCTGGCGTTTCTTTTTCCGATATCCACTGCAGGCTGCTGGTGCAGTTACTTCTTGCAGATATTGTTCCTGTGTGTTGAGGGGTTCAAGAGGTGTGAGAGCTTCAAACCTGTTTTTGGTGGTGATGGTGGGTGGAGGCTGAAGAGGAGCCCTGCTTTTCCAGGTCACCAAGGACCAAGATGCCTCCATCCCAGTATCATCCCCTAGTGGGACATGATAGTCAAATTATCTCTCTCTTTCTCTGCACCTCTAATACAACGCAGTCTTTCCACTGCTTCTTGCAGCTTGGCCACCTGACGTAGGAGATTGTTCACCTGTGCGCATCCAGCACAGGGACTTACCTTATCATTGGGTGAAGGTTCAGGGCCCTCAGTTGAGACAGCCTAGTTCTCAGTTGAGAACTTAGGTCTCCTTTCTTATCAGATCTGCAGGTGGATGCATCGGATATCTCTGGGGGTTTTGCTGAAGAGGGACAGGTTTTGGCTCTCAGACGAGTGCTCACAACCGTACTTCCAGGAGTCACGAGTACTTCCCCTAGTAGCAGACCCGAAAGTTGGCTAGCTACTGCGGTGGAATGCTGCTTCCAGCTGAGCTGCAGCTAGCTGCCCTTCGCCCTTCCCTGCTCGCCTCTCCTGCTCGTCCTGCCTCCGCCAACGGCCGCGCCACGACCTGGTCGCTCGCGCTCCCTGGGGGCCGTTTAAATCGCCCGCGGTTGTCCCTGGCACCGCCCCCGCCGCATCAGCCCTGCTGGCGGGCGGGGGCCCCCCCGCCACGTCAGCCACCCTGGTGAGATTGGCCGCTCCTGAGGGGACTCGGCATCACGTCTATCACCTCCGCAGCCTCTGCTGGCTCCGGGACCTCCCCCTCCTCCTCAACACGTGCTCAGCCGCGGAACTTACCTTTGCCGCCGCTGTGCTGCTCACTGACTCAAGATGATCTTTAAGATCCCTTCCAACCCAGGCTCTCTTATGATTCTTCCTGCAGGTCTGCATGGTGATGCTGTAGTCAGATTTTCTTGCTTGTCAGCACTGTCCCCAATAGGTACCTCAGCACGCATGGTCTTATTTTTTCTAAACTTGTAGACTACAAATTAGTCCTTTGCAGTTTACCCCCCATTTTCTCCCTTAAACTCTTGGCACTATTGTTTTATTATGTTGCATTTCCACTGTATCCCTCAGTGCTGGTGAAAGAGGTGTTGGGTACTGTTTATTTTTTTCTCAAGTGTTCCAAGTTACCAGCTCCATGCTCCTTTCAGTATCAGTTGCTTGCCACCTGAGGGCAGAAGGGTTCCTTCCTGCAGCCTGAACACTCAGCTGTTGGTGTCAGAAGATCTGAAATCCACAGTTTTGTAATTTTATCATCAGACAAGAGGATTGTGTTCTTTGGTGTAGAGACTCAGGTTATTTCCCTGTGCAAAGCATGTTTTGCCCTCTAAGCATTGCAGGATACTCTGCTAATGCAGACATGTGAAGAGCTATGCCTGTATATCCTAATGAAGATATACAGGCATAGCTGATATATAGAAGATATAATGAAGAGAAACCAAATTGGGAAATCATTGCAGGGGGTGGGGGGGGGAAATACTCAATTTGAAGTTAGGCTTTACTTTGGTCTTTGCTGGTGTGTCAGGTAGGAAGTGCAAGCGCTGTTCTCCAGCTTTTTCCCTGGAGCACACACACAGAGCGAAGGACTGGTTCCTTCCAGCTGACAGCATGGGTTGGCACAAGGGTGATGGACACCTCCTGATGCCTTTATCTGTGATAAGCTCATCCCCCAGGTGAGATCTGCTGTTGTGTTCAGCCCCTGGCAGTAAGGCTTTAAATAGACCAAACAGACAATACCTTGAAGGAAGCAAAAAATTCTTATACCTTTAAGCTTCAGTATCCAATTGAAGACAGGGATGAAAACTTGCGAAGTTTCCTGGGACAAATGCTTCTGCTGTATGTGCCAGTTCTTCCAGCATGGGTTGGATTTTAGACTGCAGTTGTGCTCCCATGTGAGAGCCAAGCTAAACTGGTGTGAGCAGCGCTGCTCTTTGCCATCCTCTTCCCAAGTGCTTTCCTCTGCAGCATTAAAGCCTTCTAATGGCATTTTGCCTTAGATGACTACTTAGTCAAGTGGTTTCAGCCTCTGTGTCAGTCTGTTGAGAGGTTAACATCTCTAAGAAATAAAGACATTGTTTTGGCACTGGCTGTAAAGTGAAAAAGAGATTTGAATAATCTGTAAAATGTTTTTTGAAGGTGGTTAACACCTCTTCAGGAAAAAGCAAATTCTTGTATGTACCATGACTGTGAAGCAGTTATAATGGGTCTTGGTTTTCATTTTCTAAACAGGAAGAACCAGCTTGTCAGTATTTCTTTGATTTGAACAAGCATCAGGGAAAGAAACGTCCTTCAGATGGGAAAGAGGGAGGCAACTCCCAACCTAAGCAAGCCAAAAAACCCCGTAAGTATGCAGATGCTTTTTTCCTGAGCCCTTCTCTTGAGGCATTGGACCATTTCACTCTTAATTTTTCTCAAGCTGTTGAACTGTATATGTCAGCTTGCCAATGCACTCTGTCACTACACTAAATGCTGTGGGAATAGAGAGGAATTAAAGAGTCCCTTGTTTCCTACAAACCTGACAATCTATAGGTGAAATAAAAGTCAAAAGCAAAAGTTCTTGAAAAACCACTTCAGTTTTTCTGTGCTGTGAGTTCACAAAGTATTAATGATCTGGGAAGGGAAGAAGCCCTTCTGTTACCTCTGTATTTCTGTGCTGTAAATCTCATTACAGTTTCTCTGACTTGAAGAAATTGATATTAAATCTTTTAGGATCTTGACTTCTCAGTGACAATGTTATTGCAAGCATGTATCTTTAGAAATGTTGGTCTCGGTTATAAAGAAATTCATGCTTAAAATGCAGGTGTAGGTGTTGGCCTCCCCTACTGTTTCTGTGAAAGCTATTCCCACTGCCAGTGGGTAAGAAAACATTCTTCAAAAAATGCCTCAGGTTGCCTTTGTTACGTGAGACTTAAGTTGTTCAGTTTTTATTTATTAGATTTCCAAACCCTTTGCTTAGTCCTTGCACATCACCATTCTACGGGCTAAATTACTTCACGTTAAAATGAGCGCAGTGTAATTGCTCTATACGTGCCTGCAGAGGCACAACTGGCTGCAGTGGTAGTCACTTTTGATTGAAGAACGTGTGGGGGTTTTCTTGTTTTCCCTTATCACTTCTGTAGGACGTAGTGTGCATATGCAGATAACTTCCAAAGTCTTCTGGAGTTTGATGTCATGAGAAGAGAGCCTTATTACACTGTTTTGCTCAGAAATGAACCCCAAAACTGGATGTTCAGTTTCCTGCTGTTCTCAGGAGAGCCCTGTCATGCTTATTTCATTTGCAAAGCTGCTTTTCTGTTCTTGTACGCAACCTGCAGAGGATAGTGTTTGACCCTGAGGAGAGGCCTAGCTTCTCAGTGCCACCAACTTATTACCTCATTAGGTAAAGGTCAGCTCAGGTGTCACAATTTGTGAATCCAATGTTTTAAGTGTGATGAACAGGCCAGAACTGACAGGTGTGTTTGACAGTGTCTGTCCTTGTCTATACTTGTGCAGTAATTTTACCTCATTTTTATGTGTTTGTGTAAATTCACTGGTGCCTTCTTATTAGGGAGCTGTAACCACTAAATCCCTGGAATTGGTGCTCTTCCATTAAATTAGAGCACTCTTTGAGAATGGCAGTCAGCAAGGGTGTGACCGCCACCACCTCCTCTCTTGCTGGAATTTCCCAGAGGCACCAGTTCTCTGACCAGATCTGCTTCCAGGAGCTGTGTCCTTCTGACATCTTCAGCACTTTATCATCGGGAAGGGTGGCTAGAAAATAACAGCTGATCCAGATCTTGTTCTGACAAATCAGCCTTGTGTTAACATTTGTTTCTCTTTCCTCTCCCAATAAAGCACAGCCCACAGGGCCCTGCTGGTTCTGCCTTGCCAGCCCAGAAGTTGAGAAGCACTTGGTTGTTAGCATCGGCACGCATGTAAGTACCCGTAGCACGTTCTTTGCTACATCACAGCAGAATCGTGCTAAGACACAGCAATGTAAAATAACAATCTCCAATTTTAAATCTTAAAAAAAACCCCAAAACAAACAAACTTTATTTGAAGCTGACTTTTGGTTTTGTTTTCAGTTTCTTTGCATTTCTCCTACAAAAGACTTAAGTATATAGATAAGGTCTTTTAAAAAATGGAGCATGGCCCAGTTTTGCTCCAGCAGCAAAGCTGGATCATGATGCCAGAACACTTTTTGCTGTGCCAGCCCTCATGGTTTGCTTATGTTACCATCTGGCAGAATTTTTCTAGCATGAGCTGAGTGTAAACTGGGACCTGCTTTGGCAGCATGATGTGCTGTCTGGAGTTATGCCAGGTCTCCGTGGGATGAGTGGTTCATTTTGTTATGTATGGATTAAACAGAAAATAAGATAGCTTTAAAGTCAACATCTTGAAGTACATCTTGGAGATTAATTCAATCACTGGTATATTCACTTTGCTTCAAGTTATTGCTCCTTTGTAGCATAATCCACTTCAAACTGCTACAGGGACAGGTTTGTCCATGGGCTTATTTTAAAAGCTGTTCACAATTTTCAAGTGGATTTTCTTGTCATAGTAAGAAATTCTAACCACAGAGGTGAAGTTCACTCAGCAGCTTTCCTGCAGACAAGGCATTCTGTGGCATTCAAAAGATTTTTGGTTGGTTGGTTTTGTGTGTCCTTCTCTTTCTTTCCAGTGGGTGAATGTGCGATGGAGAGGGAACTGGTTGACAGGGCACACCCCGAGGGTGGTGGTAAATAGCTCTTTCAAACTGGCCATCTGTCACAAGTGGGGTCTCCCAGGGATCAATATTGGGCCCAACGCTGTTTAATATCTTCATAAGTGATCTGGATGATGGGGTCAGGTGTACCCTGATGAAGTTTGCTGGTGATGCCAAACTGAGTGGGGAAGCAGACACTCAGAAAGGAGAGCAGGAAGACCTGGATAGGCTGGAAAAGTCAGCTAACAAGAACCTTGTGAAGTTCAACAAGGACAAGTGTAAGGTCTTGCACCTGGGAAAACATAATCCAGAAGTCCAGCACAGACTGGGATCTACCTGGCTGGAGAGCAGCTCTGTGGAAAGGGACCTGGGGTCCTAGTGGACAAGAAGCTCAACAGGAGTGAACAGTGTGCTCCAGCAGCAAAGAAAGCCAACAGGATACTGGGTTGCATCAACAAGAGCATCACCAGCAGAGGTAAAGAAGTCATTATGCCACTCTACTCAGTGCTTTTCAGGGCACACCTGGAACACTGTTTCAGTTTTGGTCCCCATTGTACAAAAAAAGATGTGGACAGGCTGGAGAGGGTCCAAAGAAGGGCCACGAAGATCATCAAAGGACTGGGAAGCCTGTCATGCGAGGAAAGGCTGAGAGACTTGGGTTTGTTCAGCCTTGAGAAAAGAAGGCTTAGGGGAAACCTCATCATGATGTTCCAGTACTTAAAGGGTGGCTACAAAGAAGATGGAGACTCCCTTTTTACAAGTAGTCACATGGAAAAGATATGAGATAGTGGGTACAAGTTACTCCTGGGGAGATTCTGATTGGATGCAAGAGGAAAAATTTTCACAATTAGAACAATCAGCCATTGAAATAATGTCCCCAGGGAAGTGGTGGATTCCCCAACATTGGACAGTTTGAAGATCCAGCTGGACAGGGTGCTGGGCCATCTTGTCTAAACTGTGCCTTTGCCAAGAAAGGTTGGACCTGGTGACCCTTGAGGTCCCTTCTGACCTGGTATTCTATGATTCTATCCTCCAGTAATTAATAGATTGCTAATAAACCTTCCCTAATAAGTGACATAGAAGAGAGGGCTTTCCTGTTCCTGAGGCAGAATCACTAGGCTGGGGGATACTCAGAATGCAGTCAGAGTAAATTTCCACACCATGGTAAGTAAGTGTTGCTTGCAGTGAGTAACTGGTGTGTATTGTTTCACTCTAGTGCTATCTTGCCCTGGCCAAAGGTGGCTTATTACCTGATCACATCTTGATTTTGCCTATTGGGCATTATCAGTCAGTGGTTGACTTGTCTCCAGAGGTGGTGGAAGAAGTGACCAAGTACAAGTCTGCCCTAAAGGAATTTTTCAGAAGCAAGGGAAAGATATATGTCCTATTTGAAAGAAACTATAGGAGTCAACATCTGCAGTTACAGGTATGGTTTTGATGTCACCCTGGGAGAACATAAACTTGCACTTATCTGAAAATTTATTGAAAGAGCAACCTTACCTTCAGATTTTCCTGTTTATTCTGTGACTTCACAGAGTATGGAGAGAACAGATAGAGCCAGAGCAAAAATAAAACTGGTGTGCTGGTTCTGCCACAGTCCTTGCATTATTCCTGTTACAGCAGTATGGCATTGGTTGTTTTGAGTGGGTGAGGAAGACTTTTCCCTGCATGGAAATAATGAAAAAGCCCACAAGGTTTTCAGATAAGTTGCAAGACCTTGCTCTGACTGATGAGCTCACACTGGGACACAAATTGTTATGCCTGCATTTGTAACTGAAGTAGGCTGAAAATCTAAAGATATTTGCAGAACTTTGGTCATTGTCTACCAGTTCCAGCCCTTTTAATTGATTTATTTCTTTCTTTGTCCTTGTGCATCAACCATTTAGGGGTTTATTGTGGTGTTTTCTGTATTTGGCAGCTCTGCAATGGTATCAGAGCGGCCTTAAACTACCACAGAGATCAAAAAGGAGAAGGCTGTGCTGAAAACTTTCAAGCTTTCAGTTTTCAGCTTTTTGTTCAGCTCCTACAGAAAAAATCTCATAAGTTTAAGTCTGTACGGATCGGTGCTCACCTGTCTTGTTTGATGATGCTGAGCGGTACTGAGGAGCATACCAGCTCCAGTGATGGATTGCTTTCTGAAAGTGGTTTGGTTTGTCTTTTTCTTCTTTTTATGGAAATGTTGTCCTCCCTCTGCAGGTGATTCCTGTCCCATTGGACCACTGTACTTCTGAAGACATTAAAGAGTCTTTTATTGCACAGGCTCAGGAACAACAGATTGACTTATTAGAAATCCCAGAGCACTCGGATATCACACAAGTATGAGACAAGATTTCACCTGTTCTTTACTTCCCCTCTGCCCTGTCTAGGCTGCTGTTGCCCTCTGAGGTCACTTGGTGTGGTAGGGTTGAGCTGTTAGAGGCAGACCACTGTAGACTTGGTTTGGAGATGTGCCAGATGTATTCTGCTCTGAGCGAAGTTCCTGTGAGCAGCAGATGCATTCCTTATCTGAAACTTATTCCAGCTATGTGTAGGGCTTGCTGAATTCATTCCTTCCAATACCAAACACTAGCCATCTTTCAGTGCTGCTGCACATCGGTTCCCTTGGATGAGAATTTGAAAGAAATTTTCTTGTTATATCAGAAAAATGAGTCAGTGGCTGACACAGGGTTTTTTTTTTCCTTTGTGCTCAGTGGTCACAGGGAGACCTGATCTGCAGCAGGAGCCAGAAACAGCACGTGTGCAGGCTTGTCTCTTTCTGAGCCATTGCAACTCAGGTTGACCACCTTAGAGGCTGATTGCTCAGTTGAGGAACGTGCATGTAGTCTCTTCACATGCTCTTCTTCCTCCAAAAGTATGCTGTATCAGTATGGCTTAACCTATCTCGGGTTAAGAATTATCAAAATCACAGACTGGTTTGAGTGGGAAGGGATCTTTCAAGCCCATCTAGTCCAACCCCCTTGCAGAGAGCAGGGACATCTGCAACCAGATCAGGTTGCTCAGAGCTCTCTCCAGCCTGACCTTGAATGTTTCCAGGGATGGGGCTTCTACCTCCTCTCTGGGCAACCTGGGCCAGGGTTTCACCACCCTCATTGTAAAAAATTTCCTTACATCTAGTCTGAATCTCCCCTCTTTTAGTTTAAAACCATCACCTCTTGTCCCATTGCTCCAGGCCCTGCTAAAAAGTCTGTTCCCATCTTTCTTACAGACCCCTTCAAGTATTGTAAGGTGCAGTAAGGTCTCCCCAGAGCCTTTTCTTCTCCAGGCTGAACAGCCCCAACTCCCTCAGCCTGTCCCCATAACAGAGGTGCTCCAGCCTCCCAACTTCCTGTGGACCTGCTCTGACAAGTCCATGTCTTTCCTCTGCTGGGAAAGTGCCTGGTTCTCTCATTTAATGCCTCTGTGGTGGTAACTGCAGAATTAAACCACAAAAAATATAGTAGTGCCCTGTTTGCATCATCAGCAGAAGGCCTCGTCCCTTGGCAGTCGGGGTTTGACATCAGGCACTGGTGATGGTTGGTGTCTCTGCCTGGGCTGCTCTGTTTTGTTGAGTTTCCTCTAAGGAAGAAAAAAAAAAGAAAAAAAAAAAGTCCTTTCTGCTTCGGAGACGCCTGTTTGCTGCCCAAAGCCCTGCTCTCTGCCGGCGGGAGGTGCGGGGCCGGCAGCGGCCCCTCTCCCCCC